GGCTATTCTAAGGGAGCTTTTCGGACAGTCGCACGTAATCGCTCGTGAAACCTTGGATGACTTGTTTAGATCTGGAAATGCGGATTACAACGACCCAGAAAAATTGTCGAATTTGGCAATTAAGATGCAGAACGTTGCTCTCACTCTGAAACAATTAAATTGTATTGCGGAAGTAAATTCCCTAGTAACTTTGGAGCAAATAGTTAGGCTCTTACCTCATCGAATGCAAGTCCAGTGGACAGAGCTGGGAATTAAATGGGACGAAGAGGAAAGAGAGCCTACTTTCAATGAATTGACTGACTTTATTACGTCTCGTGCTAGGATAGCTAGTGGTAGATTCGGAAGATTAGGACATGATGCGGAAGCTGTTAGTAATCTGCATGCGAGACATGGGAATTCTTCATATGTGTTTGCACCTACCTCACGCCCGGAACTTAAGAGAGTCGTTAATTGTATTAGAAAGGTATATCCTCTTGAAGACCGAGCATGTGACCCTGATGGTTTAAAATCCCGTGATGTGTATCCTAGTGAGAAGTCGGTATGTGTAGCAGATGAGATGGGTTTTTTTGAGGATTCAAAAGAAGGAAAAAGGTAAAAAGTGTAGGTATCAAGACGGATCCGAGGTGTGTGATGGTAGAAGCTTCTTAACTGCTCGAAATGCAAGGAACGGTAATTTGGATTCGAGCAAACAGAGGTTAATGAGTACAGTGAATATGAATAAGGACAAAACAGGTTTGGCTGTATGGAATAAAGCTTATGTTCGGAAACCTTCACGCAGGGTAAATTATTTAACACGACCTAGAGTTGATCCTAGGACAACAAGCGTAGATAGTGACACAGCACTTCATGTTGCTGAGCAATCAGGATGTCTGCGAGCTACTGTATCTAGTTCTACGGAGCATGATGATATTGAAGCGAAAGATAGTAGCAGCTTAGCGCGTCCTGCTGATGTTTGTTTACATTCAACGTATACTACTCCAAGTAGTCATAGCAACACTGATAGTGTAAGTGTAAGTGGCAGCAGTGGTAGCTTCGCTTTAAAGCCTGCATGCCAATTATATCGCAACTCTTGATTAACTGTGAATGGCCGGAACATCATTGTGGACAACGATAACGTCTAGGTGGAGGTGAAACCCCATGTATTTATTAATTGTGTAATTGATGTGAATAATAAACGTGATGGTAACGATAGTGGAATCACTGTAGGTAGTGCTGTTTCGTCGGTTGACGTTGCTAATGTAGCTTCTTTGAGTACTTCGGATCAAGACGAAATTGGATGATTGAGAGTGGAGAATGTAGGCGTTGGTGGGAATAGCGTTAGCTACAGTGATGGCAGTACTGTGGGGGCTAACATTCGGTATCCTAGGTGCAATGAGGAGTCTTCTAGGTTTGATGGACAGGCTGTTGTGTTGAATATGCAGCATGAGTAATCAAGCATGGAATTGTCCACCTGTCGCACTCCGCCATCACTGACTTTTACTACCAACGAAGATGGGGAGTTCCACCTTTGGCTACTACCGGTGTCCTAGGCCTCAAATCCTTTCCAGATACCTCCAAGTCCTCGCCCAAACCTTGTTCCTTAGTACTTTCTAATGGTGACTTACAACAATAGGTACTAAGCATAATATCAACCATACTAAAGAGTGAACTCATTAAACATGAAGTATCATAAGCAACTTGCCTTAAGTTCCGGGATTCTTCATGGGCTTCATCCTTCTTCGTGTTTGATTTCTTTCGAGAACTCATGATCAATTGAAATTCAACGGAAAAGAAATAATAAAGACCAAATATAAAATTTCACCGGTAAATCTTCTTCGTCAATGAAAAATCCAAAATGATCAAAAGATCGTTTTCCAAAATACAGTTTGAACAAAGCAAAAGATAAGTAATCCAAAAGTTCTTCTTCCAGGAAGTTTCAGATTGTAAACGATGAAAATTCCAAGATCTATTTTTTGGACTGTAAATGAATTTTCTACTCCAACAGTTCACTCCGTTTCGAATAGGTGCAGTTTGGTACGCACTCCCCCGGGTCCGAAACCAAAACACAATAATCCTGGGAGAAAACGGTCCAAACAATATTACATCTTCTAAACCCAATTTACCGCGATGGGTATCCGTTTCTGGAAGAATAAGTTCTTCCAGTCCGTACTGTAACAGTATCAAATCCAAATATGGCTGTAGCCATATTAAATATCAAATTTAAACAACATATGTACAGTTCAGAAGCAAACATAAAAACTTCAATATAAGTACAATATATAGAAATAATAACAATATACAATGATGAAATCTCAAAATGGAATCAAATAGAGTATCAAAATGTCAACAGAAAGAGTCAGTCATATCATAACACAAATACATATACATGGAGGGATTTTCCAAAAAACATAACATTCAAAATAGATTCTACAGTAAGTGCTCATCGCTGGAGTGTCCCATACTAGGCTGTAGCCGCCATTCAGTGCATGGGTTTTCACACTGGCAAAATCTTTGATCACTCGTATAAATCTCCAATCTCGTAAAGGAAAACAGTACCACGTCTGAAATGGTTCTTATGTTTGGCTGGATCCCAATCGTTTCCATCTGTTTTAGGTACTGTGTGCAACGGGAATGCCCGTGAGCCGTTTTGCAGAAGGATATCCCTAGATCCATTTTACATATCAAATGCTGGTGGGTGTGCAATCACGATTAATGGCAGTATACTGTAGGCGTGGTTTTGAAATTAAGGGACCTAACTTCTGACCAGTATAGAGGGTTTAGAAAACCTTTATCATCACGTTAGCTGTCAACATGAGCCATCGGAAGAGTTTTATAGACAACTAGTTTTTGGTAACAGCCTTACGCTTTGGGGAATTGCCCAAACTACATTGGTGTTGTGATGATATACCGCAGTTGGATTCCCTCGTCCGTTGGAAAAACAACGTTCAGGTTACGGGATTCGGCGGCTTTTCCCAAAGTCATTAATATGAATAAGAGTATAGTAGAGATTTGTTAATCCGTTTCGGTCAGCTGAGGCCTTTTTAGTCGAACAAACATAGATGTGAACTCAAGTGATCTCAATAAGACCGGTCAGAACATGAAGCTGGTTTATAAGTTGTGTTATTTTGAAACAAAGCAAAACTCCCGTTAACATGTTGAGTTGGCTTAGATAAAAGGAAGTTTTGAAAGTGACTCTCTCTCTGAAAGCTTTCCAGAAAGGGAAATCTCTCATCCGTAGTAACGTTCCAGTCAACGATCCGGGTATCAGGTGTTCACAGTAAATGAAGACTTTGTCCACATATTTGTAAGGTTTCAACACATCACCAGTAACACTTTTTGTTGAACTTGTAAAGTAACATCATCCCTACTGCGAGTAGTGATGCACAAGGTTATCGTCCTATTGATAACATTACCAGACTCAAAAGTTATCAGCCTAGAATGTAGTGATAAATAGGGAATGAAGGAATCTTAATTAAAGCAACATTCAGTTTGTGTTCAGGCGGTGTGGCGATAAAGTATGCGAAAATAATCGGAGAACACAAAATGTCGGATTTCAAATAATACTAAAGAGAACGGATCCGAAATATGTATTACCTAGTGAGCTAGATCACGTTGAGATAAACCAATGGAGATATCACGAATACACAGTGCTTGTTAAAATTAATTTTTGAAACCATTTACACATAGATTCAAAAAGCCCACCAAACGAAGTTATACTAGCGTTCATTTGAATGAGAATGAACGAGTTGGACTGAATGAAATCTGAGGTGATCAAGTTCTTTGAGTAACTGTAACACTGAATAATCAAACTTACTGTGATGAGCCTTCAGAAAGACCGAATTCAACAAGACTGAACGCTAGGGTCAAGGCCGAAAGGTCAAAACTCTGTTTGTTCTTAGAATAGTTTTCTCCACTGCATGTTGTTTTTTGAGTTCGTGGAAACAACCAATCTTCGCGCACTGGCTTGAGCACACATACCGTTGTTCTCTCAATCAATATAAAGTATGCCCACTAAATAATGTTGACAGGCTCTTCAATTAGGCGAAATCCACAGACTATTATCTGCTTTTCTAAAAACTTTCCAGCTATGAAATATATTAACTGGTTGTCTAGAAGATGCCTGAAAATTCGACGCAGATGCACCATTGAGAATCTGTAACCTAGCTTTCAGATTTCGGCGAATGAGTGGCTAGTCTATCACCCATTAAACTCTATCAAAGACCTGAAACTCCAGGAAGGGAGCTTAAGGAAACTAACTTTCGTCCTCAATGGTAGTCCTCCTCTTAATGTTTCTTAGGAGGGAAATCTCGGTCTAATAACCACAGAATGCCCGAAAATCACTTCAAGTGAAAAACAACCCTCTACTTTATGTGAAGACAAACTGGTGAGATCACTCACGAGTTAATCTTAGCTATCTATAAAACATACTCACGGCCATACGTTTGAGTTCAAAATATCTTTACTTCGCCCCCCTTAATAGAAACGTTGATCCCCCGAGTCGAGTGCCGAGATGAACAACTAAATGGGTGATAGAGAAACATTAAACCTTACAAATACAAACCCCTACACTTTTGATTATAACCGCTCTTTTATAGGAGAATCAGAGGTGATCTATTAATGACAAACAGTATTTTAAGTACAATGAATCATTCCAGCACGAGCATCCTGCTAAAGGATCGCCATCATGTGCCTAGAGACAACCCTCAAAAATTTGCACGTCAAAGGGCCAATATCCAACTGCCTACTGACTACAATTAGAGCAGTCGCGTGGTTAGACTGTCATCGTTTGAACATTACCAAATATCTGCAACCGTACTGAAGGAACAAGAAGAGAGCGAAAGTGAATAATTTCGTTTTTGTTAGCTAGTGAAGATGGATACTAGATATATTGGATACCGATATCGGTTTAAACAAGCCCTTCACAAATACAATGTATTGAGTTCTATCGATAGGGATTCGTTCATTTACGGAAGTTGTCAGTTTTTTGTCTGGAATGAGAATTTTTCATAATTAAAATAAAACAGATATGAAAGGAAATCCGATAACAATACTTTATTACCTTGTTTTAACCTGTTTCTATTGGCTACATAGAGTTTCCGTACTGTCAAAATGCTGACGAAATGACGCAACTGGAAGTTGAACCAGTTATTCTAAAGAATTACACAATCGGGAGACAAATAGGGAAAGGGGTTTGTAAAAAATAGTTTGTTTACCACTTATAGGCTTATGGAATAGTTTGGGAAGTGGTGAATAAGAAAACACTTAAAAAATATGCACTCAAAAAGATATTTGATGCCTTTGGAAATCAAAGAGATGCCCAGGTATGTAGTAATCTTTTTAAAATTGTTTAGAGGACATTCAGGGAAATCTCCTTTTTACAAAAATTTTCCGATCATCCAAATATCATTCGACTTATGAATGTTATAAAAGCAGGAAATGATAAAGATATTTACCTAGTCTTTGAATACATGGGTAGCTAAAAATTTCTTTCATGATATAAAGCAGAAAGTGATTTACATAACTGCATTAAGAAGGGAAATATCCTGAGAGATGTACACAAAAGATTCATTTTCTACCAGTTACTACGGGCAGTTAAATATATTCATTCCGGGAATGTAATACATCGTGATTTAAAAGTAAGATCTTCTGATGTTTAATCCGTTGAATGTTTGCTAAATACCCCCTTTTCAGCATTTAAGTCTCTAATACTCTACATTTTTATCCGTAACACGGTAATCATTCCTATTGTTTAAAGATACTATGAGGCACATCCATGCAGCTCATTTAATTTTAGCACATATCTTCTGCTGTTTTTTACGGTTGGACAGTTATTTCTTCTGCAAATAAATGTGCCGAATACTAATAGTTGTCATTGGTCTCATCTTTCCAAGTTGGATCTATCGGTCCCATCGAATAACATTGGGTGTTTCCATTCTCAGTTGTAATGATAGTACATTCGTCCCATACAATGTCTAATGTCCCTGAACGCTAGTGAAGTTCACTTTTGTTTCAATAGTGTATTGGAAACTATTAGCTCTTCTTATGAGAATTATGTGAATTTTAGCCTTCTACAAGTACTAACTCAAGTCAATTTTGGTGCAGTTCCCAAAATATTCAAATTAGACTTTCACGTGAATAGACTAGACAGTTGAAATAAGCTATGAAACAGTTTTTCAAGGCCGCTGGTTGATGCATGAAGAACCAGAGTACAATTTTTCACTTTACTAATAAAAAGCAGAATGCAATCAGCGGAAAGTAAAGCATTCCTTTCATTCTAGCGCGCTCTCCCGTTCCAATACACACCCCCCATATTTGAAATATAAACTCGTTGTTTGAATAACAAGTGATCTCACTATATTTCGGGAATATCAATTCAAAAACCCTAGCTTTTTACTCTTTGGTTTGATAAATAGCCTAATATACATCAGAAAATTAGTTGCAATTTTCGATCATAACACTTTGATCTCAATGATAATCCGATTTGTCTTTTGTTAATAAATCAAATTTGACCCGACAGAGAGTTGTAAATCACCAAGGAATGAACGCTCAGTCTGTGTTAACTTAGTCAGTATGGCAAATAAATATATATGGATATTCTGTAATCTGGCTGTAACTGACTTTTAATCTAATTGCAATTCAGTTTGAACATGAAATATACTTTCATCTTCTAATCAGTATTATGCCTTCAGTTGGTTCCCATGATATCTTATTTTGCGTCAACAAAATAGGACAACTCTTAACTGTCTTCACACTCAACAACGGATCATAAGGTATGTCTCAGAAGGAGAAACGCCCAAATACTGCGGGTTATGTCATTTATTTTCTTGAGAGTATTTATTAAGCGTAGTCTCTTCCCTACACAATTCGGTGTTCTCAAGTGTAGACGGTACGCGTATGAGCAGCCTCTACTGCAATGGGAATCAACATGCACACGGGAAAAATAAAGGTTCTCCAATACAACACCAAACAAATCACGCTCGATGACGAATCTCTGGCGGATTTAAAAATCTCTACAGTTGAGGAACATCTGGAATTCAAATTGACTATCATTCAACGCCGAAGTCAGAATTTTCAATACAGATGTTGAAACAGTGCTACTGGTGTAGCTAAACGTTGAAGAAATACGAAAGCCATCATCCAGAAGATACAAATAGATGTCTGCTCCACTCGCCGGACACTACTTTGCGAGAGAGCAATCCGAATTCCAGTGAGCTAAAGTAAACTAGGAAGACCAAATCCAAAATGCATTGAGCAATGTATAAATACATGAGAAGAATGAACAACAGTTGGACAGAAGTGGAAAGGTTAGCCCAGGACAGAGTTGGCCGGAGAATGCTGGTCGGTGGCATATGTTCCATTAGAGGCAACAGGTGTAGGTAAGTAAGTTATGAGGAGACAACTGAACATTTATTCTCAGACTATGATATATTTTAAGGATGTTCACAACTTATCTGTGTATTTAAAAAGAAAAAACACTGTCTGCATAAATTCGAAGTTTATGAAAATTTACAAGCGACCCACATTACATCTTGACTGAGTTCTTCATCACTAAACACAGCGGTGAAAACAAATTGATAATCACTTTGTTTGAAAGTTGGCCTCGAATGAAATTGTGTGCTGTATGTTGTTTAGCTAATTGATTTTACCAGATCCTCATTAACTACTGAATTTGCTTTACACGGAATTTCCGGAAAATCAATAATTATTTAACTCAACTGGTAAATAAGAGGTAGGTTTCGCGCGAAATTAGGGTTTTTACCTTCAATGAACAAAGTTTATACTGGGTTGATAAAATTGGTGGTCAGTAATGTCCTGATAATTAATTTGATGTCAGATTTATGATAGTGACGAACATCCATCGACACGGAAAATATTGACTTGGACCAACCTTACCTTCTTATCTAGCAACATCTAACCCCCTCTGTAAGCTCAACAATAATTTTGGAGTTACTATTATTTTCGGCCAAATAAATCACAGCTCATATGATCGGTCATAGGTTTTGGTGCATTTCGGCATTATGGCTGATGTTAGTTTGTGATAAAAACCCTAAAACAATTTTACACCCTTATTCATAACTGTCAGGAGTAATCGTAATTTCCCACTACAGTTTAAGTCCCTTTTGTGACCTTTGGATACGTTTAGTTTTTTGAAGGTCACGTGATTTTCAGTACCCTATCTCTAAATCTCAGTAATCAAGTTACAACTCCCACTGGTTGGTTACAATGACGACTTGGCGCAGCCATCAGAAGCTCTGGGCTTACTTAGCACGTATTCAGTGCAACTAGATGGACTAAAGAAAGAAATTCTGCAAACCTGGATTTTTCGTTAACAAATGATCAGCTCCTGGTCGAGGATTTTCAAGTTCATGCACCAATAAGAACCATGGTACAGTCTTGTTTAACATGGTCATAAACAAAACACTCAAACAGGACGTAAACGAGCCCCATCTTTGGTACACTAGGGCAAATTATACGCGTATGAGAGAGGTCCTCCTACATGCTCCATGGCCATGGTATTGGTGGAGGCTGACAGAAGGTGATCACTGGCAAACGGTGAGAGACATCATCTAGAAAGTTGTTGTAGGCAACATACCTTAGTCACACCACACACCCGGAAACAGAAGAGCATTAGTTAGGCGAGGCACTGAACGCTTGCTACAGGCAAAGAGGAGAGCCTGGTAAAAGTGGAAGATTTGCTTGAAGGATTCTGATAATAGTTCTTACTTGGCATTGAGAAACAGATGCACTGCCAAAGTTCGAAGTGATTGGAGACTCTTTCAGATGAAGCTTGCTGCCAAAATACGGGCAAACACGAAGCATCTGTTTAGATTCATGTCCAAAAGAAAAATTTCGGGGGGTATTCTCTCAACGGACCGAATGGGGAAGACCTCATCAACCTAGAGGTGGTTGAGATCTTCAACACAAACTTCACCGATCAATTAAGCCAGGCATCCACGTGCTCAGAATACGACGCAAACTCAGTGCCGACGTCATCAGGTTGTGACAATATTCATCCCATAGTCGTGAAACAATGTGCATAAGTCTTCTGTTCACCTGTATGTCACCTTTTCAGGTATTCAGTGGAGTCACACCAACTCCCAGATGAATGAAAACACGCTACCCTCTATCCAGTCTTCAAAGGAGGAGATAGAAAGGACCCAGCCTGTTACAGACTAGTCGCACTACTACCAATACTATCAAAGGTAGTGGAAAAACTGGTGAACGAAAAAATGAGGGAGTACATGGATAAGAACAAAATACTCCTTGAAGCTCATTTCGGGTTTCGGAAAGGCGGGTGGTGCGCGTCTAATCTTCTCATAGCATGAGACAGTAGGACATCTTGTTTGGACCGGAAAATACCGGTGCACGAAATACTTCTCGACTTTGAAAAAGCCTTCGACACAGTACACCACGGTCGCCTAATCACAAAGGTTGCAGAAATAGGCTTCACTAACTCACTGGTATCTTGACTAAGAAACTACATTGAGAATAGAAAGTTTCGTACCAAGGTAAATAGAGTGCACATGGGCTGGCGAGTATCTGCATCGGGGGACCATCTTAGGTCCACTTCTCTTCCTGATATTTATTAACGACCAGTTAGGCTCAGTTAGCTCAACGGCATAGATCTACGCAGACGATGCGAAGATCTGGAGGTCCATTAGAAGTGAAGAGGATTCGGCTGAACTTCTGTTGAGGAATGGGCAGTGAAAAACGGTTACAAACTCGACCAGCCGAAGTGTCACGTCATGCATATTCTGCCTCACATGACACAAAAGATTTACAACCTCAATGGAAGTCCGCTCCCTAATGTCTCTTCAGAATTTGATTTCGGTTTAATAACCACAGAAAGCCCCCACACAAAGCCCGAACTGTTTAGGAGACGCAGCCAAGGCAAATGCGACTCTTTACTTTACGCGAAGACAGCTTGATGCTATCACCCCAAAATTAGTCTTAAGGTTATTTAGGATATATGCACGCACACACCTGACGGTTCACAATGTCATCGCACCCCGTCTGCTTAAAAGAAACAAAAGTCTCTTGGATCGAGTGCAAAGACGAGCAACGAAACAGATGATAAGGTTGAAGAATAAACCGTTCGAAAATATACAGCAGTACTTAGTATTATTTCCACTGAGTTATAGGATAATTAGAGGTGGTCTGATTACGGAGTACAACATATTAAGCACGCCAAACCATCCCAACGTGAGCATCTTACCGATGCATCACCAACACTCCCCTCGAAGCAATCTACAAAAAATTGTGCATCAGAGGGCGAATACTCAGGTTCGTGCACACTTTTTTCATTGTGAGTCGCGGCAACTTGGAATGCTTTCCCATCCGAGGTGACCACAACACCTCAGTGGACAGCTTTAAGAAGAGACTTAATAAACATGTACTCACGGATTATCATTTCCTCTTGGACAAGCTTTTCATGATGCATATCTTGAGACCTGCTAGTTTTTATCATTACCATCTCCCTAGATCACTCAAATAATCTAGCTCACCTATTATCTCTGTTTCTTCCTTGTTTACAGTCCGGTCTTCTCTCACTATCTTCACTACCAATTAATAAAATAAATTATCTATTGGTTTACTTAGTTCTGAAATCTTATTCATATTAGCATTAGAATTTTCTCCTTGTTGTTCTCCGTATCGCACCTAACTGATCTTCGGTCTGGGAGTGTGATAGCTGCTGGTATCCAGAAACCCTACTGCCCTGAAACGAACACACTCATTCGAATCACGAGACATACAAACTCACAACCAATTGCCAACTGACTAGAATTAGACA